CCCCAAAACCCCAAAACCCCAAAACCCCATTGCTATTTCAGTTTGAGTATCTTGTAATTATGAAATTATGGATTTATATTTCAATCAGCCTGATTAATAATCACGAATGTAATTGAGATTCACAAATCCTGTCTTAATAAGATCTTCCCAATGCTTTCATTACTTTCCATATACTTGTGTGCTTCTTGAACCTCTGAAAAGCCATAAACTCTATCAATTATTGGTTTGAGACTCCCATTTTCAAAATCCTAGAAGCATTCTGATTATAGTCTTTTTATTAAGTCTCCTTTGTATTAGTATGTTCTATTTCTAAGGGTAGTGAACTATAAATTGACTCTTTTTCTCATTAGTAAACCAAGATTAAATTGATCTACAATAGATCCACCCATTTGCCCGTAGATTATCCATCTTCCATCCATTGCTATACTATTTACATTCTAAATTAAAATGATTGAATAACAAAGATCAATCTACAAATAAGAAGTTTGAAGCAGAGACTGGATCAAGGATAATGTCCGCACCTTTATTATTCGTGAATTCTAGAACAGAAGGAGAAAAATCTGGATTAATTTTGTAATTAATCAAATGATCAGCTCCAAGTCTATACATATAATTTATCTAATCTTGATTTTTACTCTTTACAAAATTAAAGTTTCTCATCAGTGGAAGATACAGCTATTACAGTGGCTCCATACTTCTTGCATAGTTAAATCAAACTAGTTCCAACTCCAGCAGCAGCTGCATGAATGAGGACAGTGTCACCTTTTTAAACTTATGCTATCTAAACTAAGATCTAGAAAGCTGTGCACCAAACTTCTGGGATAGCAGCAGCTTTTTCAAATTCAAAGTCTTTAGGAAGATCCATTATGGAATCTTTGTGAACAGTGGCAAATCTATGGCAGAAAATAAATATGGTATATATAGAATTACTATCCATAACCACCTCCTGAAAGTAGTGCAATAACTTTGCGATTGTTTAAATAAGAGTTGTCATCAAGTTCATTGAGATTATTAATAACATAGCCTGCGCATTCTAGTCCAATGATTGATGTGCTTCCTGGAGGAGGGGGATAAGTCCCTTTTCTCTAATTAAGTATAATATTCTAATTGATACCTGCATAACATCAGCTCTATTGAGAGCAGAATATTCAACTTTGACAAGAATCTCATCTTCTTTTGGGATAGGTATATCAACCTCTCCGGTAACAAGAGTCTCAGGACCGCCAGGGCCATTTTGAATGATAGCCTTCATTTTTCTAGATTAACCTTCCATTAAAATATCTTTATTTCACTATAAAAATTTATTATCAAAATAATTACTTTTGGGGTTTTGGGGTTTTGGGGTTTTGGGG